TAGTCGATGCTTTCCGCTTCCCTTAATAGTTGAGAAAGATATGAATGTATTTTCGGGCTATAAAATTTAAATCCATTTCCAACTTTTAACCGAGCAAAGCTCTTTGCATATCATATGTACTTGTTCTGTGGAAAAGAACCCTCTGAGGGTTGGCCAAATGAGAGGTGAGGTCCTTGTTCCCGGTGGCATGTGGCTTGTGCCACAAACGAGCCGCAATAAGCAGCACCAGGTCCAGGACCGGGACTGAGACCGGGATCGAGACCCGAGAAGACCCCAAAGGTACCGACCAATCAAGCGAACGAACCGGGACCCTCTTGCCAAAGTCAGAGCCAAAGCTAAAGCCAAAGCTTCTCGCTGCACCCTGGAGCGAGGCCTTCGTTTGGCTCGTGTCATCTGTTGAATTATAAAATATGGCAAGGAATTAATTTGCCAGCCAGGGCAGGCAGTCAGCCCTTCCATGCCCTGGGTCGAATCTGGCACAGCAGCAGCAGCAGCGGCGGCAGCACAGCAGCAGCCGCAGCAGAACAGCAGCAGAAGGACCAGAATAGCAGGATAACGATCCAAATCATCTACCGCTATGCTCTCGCCCGCTTTCCTGCTCTCTCGCTTGCTCGCTCTTCTTATCTTGTGAGCACCTGTCGCCTGCCCGAATCCCAGTCCGAATGTCGGGGATCGGGATCTGGATGCGCAGACAAAACGAAAAGGTGCGCTTAAATTCTTATAATGACTTGCCTCGCGCCTCAACCTGCTGATCCTGCCTCTTGTGGCATCTTCCTTTGTGTGTGGATATCGTGTGTGCGTTGCATCTTCGGCCGCAATTTGTTGCTCATTGTGTGCGTGCCTCCGTCTGCTGTTTGCCTCAAAATCTGTCTATAATCTGTGTTTTAGGCCCATGCCACAATTGATTTCGGACTAAGCCTGAAAACCGAAAACACCTTGAGATCGGCCTCTATCCGAGGCCCCTACCCCCTCTCCATTCACCATTCCCCATTCCCGCCGGTGCACTCTTGGGTCTTCCCTCCCGCCTCCACCTTTGCCTCCGTCGCTTTGACTTTGCACCTTTTCTCACAAAATCCGTACAAAATTTCGTGTTTAGATTTTGTCATTTTAATTGCCGGGACTTGGCTTTTGGCTTTGTTTTTGCTTTGTTTTGTTTTGACATTTGCTTTCGGCCCGATTCAACGTCTTGCTGCAACCCTTTTGCTAAGCCCTCGGATCGTTGACTGTTGACTGTTCACTTTCCCCTGCTTACCCTACCCTACCCTACCCTGCTGTGGCCATCTCTTTTCCTGGCTTCTCTTGCCAATTAAGCTGTTTAAATAGATTTCACAATTCGTTCTGTCTTGGCCCAGAGGGTTGATTTGCATATTTGACTTGGATTTGTCAATGCATTCGCTGCATTCAAGTCGAAAGAGCTTAAGATTTCCTCCGCCCTCAAGATACCCCTGGGTAGGGGCGGGCGGTTCAGGACTAATCTCCAACTTGTAGACTAGTCATTGACACGGCATTCCCTTGGCTTCGCGTTGCTTCCGATTTGGCCAGCGAACTTGGCCAAACTGATGTTGTTCTTTGTGCCGCCGCTTTGGTTCCATCAGTCTCGCCTTCAGTCTCGGCCCAGCCTTGGCTGATGTCTGATTCGCTTCCAATCTCAAGAGGATCCTTTGCTGACTAGACCAATCCAAATTAGACACATTCCAAGCTTAATTTATCCACATCCCTTGCTAGCACAACTCCAAGTCATTACACTTGCTCGCATGCAGAACTAATCAAAATGTGACTACTGTAAGGAGTCGGAGACCATTGAATATGGAAAGGAATCCCCTGCTGGCATCACCTGTCCTTAAGTGTCCATTAATATCATACTATTCCCCATTAGAGTTCATCATTTAACAATCAATTGCCTACAAGAGTCCAGAGCCAGCCAGGTGACAATGCTCAATCAAAGAAAAGCGAAGCAATCATAACTTATCAGTTTCAATTCCACAAAAGGCCAAAAGGGAAGAAGCGACAGCCTGACAAGGGAGAGGGAACCGAGCGAAGCCGGAGGCCTGTTAAAATTGGGTCACTTTTGGCCTGGCCTGAACTGGCCTGGCCGACAAGTCGATCTTGTAATATCGATCGAGCGTGACAGGTGCAGAGGTGCACTTACAATTGTTGTTGCACCTTCCATTCCTTCCTGCCCCTCCGTCTCCGTCACCGATCGATGTGTGTGTGGATTTTGTATCTCGTATCTGGGAGTACTCGTACATACATTAAGCGACAGCTTGTGGCTCAAAAACACACACGGCATGGACTCCCCTGAGGGCCTAGATTAGATGCAGATCTCTCTGCCATCTACTCGAATGTTTTTGCGGTCTGTCTGTCTCTCGGATGCGAAAGATTTTTATGACTGTTGCATCTTTTGGCTTCTGCTGCCGCTCCTGGTGTCGTGTGGCCCATGTCAACTCAGACTCAGTGCCCCGCACTGGTACTGGTTGTAAGTCTGGGCTCTGGGGCTGAGTCTGGCTGGCTGCTGCTGTTGTAATTTGCCTCCTGGCATATGTTGGCCGCAAACCGGCTTTGAGCACGCGTCGAGACGCTCGTCCTGGCTCAATAATTGAGCGCCAAGCCACGACGACAGGTTCCAGGATTCTGGGACGGCAGCAGGTGCTTGGTGCTTGGACCAGGCAAAAGGGAATTGGAATCGGAATCAGCGCCAGGCTGCAGCTCCTCGGCCTGCTTACAATGAAAGGACATAAACATAAATGAGCCGATGTAATGTTGAGCCGCTGTCGGTCCTTCTTGAGCCCCATCTCGCTCTATCTGTGTGTTACAGGTGCCTTTTCTGTTCAGATGCATCCATCCCCTCCGCATTTTAATTGTGAGCCCGGCCCGGCCCGGCCTCGCTTCACCTGCAGACGAGCAGCCGAGCTGCGATCGAACCGAACCCAGGAACCGAACCGAACCAAAACCAAACTGACCTAAGACATCTTTTTTGCTCTTGCTGCACGCGGCCCGGGCTCTTCACCTTTTTTTTAGCCGCAACTATTATTTTTATTAATAGCCAAAGTCAAAAGTCACCTGCCCTGCCACAGAGACAGACCAGACCAAAAGGTGACTCTGTCTCGGGGTTAGGGGCTGAGGCTAGGGGCAGCCGGAAAACGGAACCGAACCGAACCGAATAGAAGGGAAAGGACGTGCACATGCTCATGTTGCGGGCTCAATGCGATTGTCTAGGCCTCTTCAAGCACCACTTCTAAGATCAATTTCCTCTTCACCTTTTTCCTCCAAGAGTTTTCCCTCGATTCTTATTGTTGTTTGCTTTGGGGTTGCAGCTTTCATTTCATTTCAATTCGTTCTTTTTTTTATTTTGGTGCTCTTTTGTTTTTCATGGGGGCTTGCCCGACTCGTGGGCTGGCTGTTGAATAAATTCCAAACGGCATGACAAATTATGTGGGCTCAGGTGTTACGCGGAAAAAGGGGTGAACAAACCGAGAGCTGTAGCTAGAGCTGTAGCTGGAGAGTGACACTCCAGCATATGGCATCGAGTGTTTATGCATTTATCTCTACATCTTATCGGTTCTCTAAAGTCTCCGCGAATACTGTTGGATATGTAAAGATATTTGATCACTTTCACTTTCATGAAAGAGAGAACATCCTTACCTAAATTGAGTACTTTTGGATCAGGGTAGAACTGCCATCTGCAATGTATATATATCTGCCGCAAGGGGACTTTCTTACAATGTCTTCCATGTAATCTATGACTCTTCCTGACTATCTGGAATACATATCGAAAAGCTGGAAGCCCTCTCCACAATCAGCCACCTTTTTTTTGTAAAACTTAACCTTGATAATCGTCCCTTTGTTTCTTCACCTGCCTGGCTGACGTTTAAGCAAAACTTTCATCTATGGCACGACCGAAGGGGCCAGGTCACATGTTGTGTCTACATTCTCTGGCCATTCTTTGGACTTACTTTGTCGGCACTTGCCGAAAAGTCCTTGAACTGCATTTTTCTGTGGCAGCAATTGAACTGCATATTTCTCTCTCTTTCTCCTTCACTGTCGTTCCTTTTTTTGTGGTTCAATATTTTGTCAATTTCGATCAATTTGTGGCGTGCCAAAGCCCGGATCCAGTTCTGGGGGGAATCGTCTGAGTGAAATCCTTCGACGACTGTTCGTTCGCTGATTTCTGATTGCGGCCAACGATGAATGGCGATAATGAGGGGAGTCGGTGATTTGTAAACTGCCAAACTTCATTTCGGGCGTTTTAAAGTGCCGCAAAATGCATTTGGACATTTCGATTACCGAAAATTGCGATCAGCAATCCTCAATGACCACTGCCTCTGTGCCTCTGTCCCTGTCCCGATCTGCTCTCACTCCTTTTCTCACTTTATTTCGGCTGCAATTAGTTCGAACTTCGAACACTTATTGGCGTTTTCCCAAAGGAGCGCAGGGGCGGAGGAGCAGGGGCAGTACCTGCTGTAACGCGGCGGCTTACAAAGGGCATTCCCAGGATGCCACATGGACCACAGATCAAAGATCACCGCGTCACCCGGTAAACGAAAACAGGAGCAGTAGCAGCAGTAGCAGCAGCAGCAGCAGCAGCAACAGGAACAGGAACGAAGCAACTTATTCCCCATCAATTGAGTACGTGCAGGAATTTATCTATAAAATCAGGTTTTCGGCCAAGATCCCGAAAAAAAAAAACAAATATTTGGAACGCTTTGGACAATTTGTAATAAATTGTGGGGGACTTCAAAGGAGTAGCATGTGTCCTTGATGCTATGGAATGCCTCATATTCGGGTTGAGGGGCAGAGATACATAATGAGATATTTAACCCATATTTATGAAGATATTTCATTGCATATTCATATCTCTTTTCCTTTGCCGCACTTAGGCAAATACCTTGAGAAATCCTTTTCAAATTTCTTTTCTTTTAGCTTTCAACTTTATTTTCCAAAAAATCATAGGTTACTAAATTATAAACTATAATTATAGTTATAAAAATCATTGGATAAATTATAAAATTAGAATAAACTAAAAGATGCATCATAATTCGTATAAATTAATTATTCTGGGGGTGTGTAATCAACTTAAATAAATTGGGATAAAAAATTTGGACAAGTGTTGCTGTTCAAGGGTTCCAGTTGGGAAATTTCTTGCTGCTGGTTTGCTGGTTGGTTGTTCTTTGGTACGTTTAGCTGCCAATTTGGGGTTAAGTTTAATCCAAATAAATAAACGTTAATCGAATAAATTAAGTTAGTTATTATGCTAGATTGTAACACATACATATACATATAAGAATAAGTCTTGTTTGGGTAACTATTTACATTGGGAGGGGCTTAGGGCTAAAATTGAGCAAATGTCTTAGCTAACAAATGGGAGGGCACCCTTAACAAAAGATCTCTTTAATGGTTCATCTGTGCGAAGGCCAAGAGAAAACAAACTTTGGCTTCCTAGCAGCGACTTAGACGGGCCACCTCCACCTCCTCCTCCTCCTCCTACTCCTACTCCGCTCTTCTTTCTGGATGTGCTCAGCTAATACTGGGATCCGATCCACGTGGGAGCTCGGTTGTGTTCGGTGGATAACGAGTAGCGGCTGTCAACAGCTGCTGCTGCTGACCTCCATTTTGAGCAGCGTGGGGGGCTTCAGATCGTCGAGGGGTGCCTCCTCGTGGCGGCTCTCCCGATGCCGCCTCAAGTCCACCTTCCGCTGAAACGACTGATCGCAGAGGCCACAGCCAAAAGGCTTGTAGCCCGTGTGCTTACGCATGTGCGTGATCAGGTTCGAGCTCTGGCTGAAGGCCTTCAGGCACACCGTGCACTTGTGCGGCTTCTCGCCTGGAATCGGAGGGAAATCAATAAACAATTAGCTAAATGAAAATTGTGCAACGTTTATTAATTGTGGGGTCGGCCGGTGGCGCAGCTTTACAGCAATTAGACAAATTGAAGAGCGATAGCGATAGAAATCTTGGCCACTAGTTGATTTTGGGACGGGGGTTTTGACACATTTGCATAGGGCAAGTGTCACGGAATATTCTGATTTGAATGGAACCCTTGGAGCTGGGAACTTACCCGTGTGTATGTATGTGTGCTTCTTCATGTCGGACTTCTGGTGGAACCGCTTGCCGCAGTACTGGCAGGGATATGGCCGGGTGTCGCTATGGATGAGCAGATGCGTCGAGAGGGTGGACGAACGCTTGAAAGACTTGCCACACTGTTTGCACTGCAACGAACAAAGGAGAAGCAGAAACATTTAAATATTTAATTTTCAAATAGTACGAGTCACGCTTAAGCCCCCGGCCCGAAAAATGTCCCCTATTTGAACAGCCTGTATCCCCAAAAAGCCAAATCTGAAATGGGAATATCCCACCCACACATATCAGGTCTATATATACTCTCTGCTTTGTGTTGTCTGATCGTGCCAAATTCTCAACAGCCACAGGAATTAAACTAGATTTGTGAGTGCACAAATATTTGTCGGACAGGTGACGACGAAGCCAACCCAACTAGAGGTAAAACCCAAAGCCAAATTTTGGCCCGATAGATTCTCTAGCTTATTTTTGCATTTAACTGCGAAGAAAACAGCTAATCAAATAGTGGGAGGGGGGGCAGGGAAGGGTAGGGATTCAGCTAAATCTCAAGTGAGATACTTTCTGTGGGCTGCGCGAGTGAGTGAAACGATGATATTTGTAGGCCAAACACAGCTGTGACGGTCAGACTGGATCGATTAGGGACTGTGGATCGGGGATCGGGGATTGGATGATCGAGCTCCCTGTAACATCTTCGGTTGTCAGATTAAATGTTTAAACAGTTTGCGTGTTGCAGCAACATGCATGTACTCGTATCTAAACATTGACACACTCTCACAGCCAGCACCAGAACAACACCCCGACTCAAATCGTTCATCAGCTCCCCAGCTACGTGGGCGACACTTATTAAACAACAACAACACCGAAAAGAACTGGTGGAAAAGTGAAACATTTTTTTCCAAAAACCCAACATGCTCTACGCATATTGTAAATTGACACAAGTGTCTGTTTCTGTGTGTTTTTTGTTTTTTTTTAAATTTCTTTCACTCTTTATGTATTTTTCTCTTTCTTGCTTTTTGGGATTTTCTATTTGCGGATTGCATTTGAGTGGACCCATATCCCCATAGCCCCATATCCATATCCAGTACCAATATCCACCAATACACCAATATCTCCATATGGGCTAGACCCAATTAGTTGCTCTATTGTTAAGCTCGGCTTGACTCGACTCGAGTCGACTCTGAGCCATAATGTCAATTTGCTTAGCTTCGACAACGAAACGGAAGTTGGCGAAGCACAAAAAATACGAGGGGCGGTGTGGGGGGGGGGGGAGAAACCCCAAAGTCTGACTCAGCCGGGTGGGCCTCCTACAGGGTAACAGATGTAAGGAATTACAGACAAAAAAATAAGACTCAATTTATATACATATATAAAAACAATATAAAAACTGCGCCTGCGCGACTGTCTCTGGACACTCTCCGGCAACTGTCTTCGGCCATATGGCGAGCGGCCTGGAAACCTTTTTTTTTTTTCGGCCCGGCCTATCGCATTTCACTCTGACTGACCCCCGATGGATGTGTGAAAAAAGCGGAGAGGGACATCCACATCGACATCGACATCGGACTCGCGGCGGGTGTTGATGGATATAAACGCAATATGACATCGGGGGTAGTCAGAGCATGAGCCCGGCTCGACCATAAGCGAAGAAGCCTTCTCGAATTCCACATGGTCGTGTGCCCCCGGCACTGGCCGGGTTAATGCGTTGGAAAAAAGGGGGACAATCCAATATCGAAATGACAATTATGATTGTAATTTGTACATAAATCCTCCGAAAGAGTGTCCCTCCAGCACCCCCGCACTCCACTAATCAAAATTATTTGATTAACTAATTGCGTGATTTCGATGGAACTTAATTGAATTTCCATAGAGCTGCGTCTCCCCTGTCTCTCCTGCCTGTCTGTCCTGTCCTGACGGTGTTATTACAGTATTTGCTGTGCCACTTTTCCAAATTGAAATAATGGTGGGAGGTTTGTTGTCTAGCACTATCGATATCTCCGAGGACAATTAAAACAGTTCGAGGACGAAATATGAAACAATTAACACAAGGGAATTGCCAAAGACACGCAATGCAAGCCGCGGGGTCTTATGCAATGCAAGTATTACACCAAAATGGCTGGAGGTACGCCAGGTACGCTCCCCCCAGAACTGGACACGTGATAAACCCATTAGAGACGGGGAGACGGTGCCTCGACTGCTCACAGATTTACACAGATCGATGCTGTTGGTGAGCCTCAATTCAGGCAATCTCTGAAACATTTCCGCTAGTCCCAGTCCCAGTCCCAGTTCCCCGATTCGATATCCTGTTTGACTGGGCTTACCTGGAAATTCCTGCCGCTGCGCTTCTCCTCGCACTCGCCCTGGTATGAGGACGAGGAGGAGGATCGACGCGCAACATCTGTGGCGGTCGAATCAGGATGTTGCTGCTGCTGCTGCTGATGATGTTGCAACTGTTGCTGCTGCTGTGGCTGTGGCTGCTGCTGCTGCTGTTGTTGGTGTTGATTACGCATATAACCGAATTCGGCGGCTGCCACCAGGCCCATAAGCGCCGCTGCCGAGCGGTTATCCTGCTGCTCGCTGGCTGCCTCATCCTTGATGTGTTGCTGCTGCTGCTGCTGGTGAAGCTGCTGGGACTTTAGGTGCTGGGTGAGCAGCTCAAGATTGTTGCCCGTGAGGCCGGCCATGAAGGCGCTGCGATGGGCGTACAGCTGCTGCTGTGCCACCTCGAAGTCCATGTCCTGGACAGGCGTGGCCTGGGGTGCGGATAACGAGGAGATCGGCGACTGCAGGGAGGAGACGGAGGCTGCCGACCGTCGCTCGTACTTGAACTTTCTCACAATGGGATCCACCTGCGGCTCATCCTCCTCGTTGTACTCGTTGTACTCGCTCTGCTGCTCCCTTCTCGCGGATCTCTCGCACATGGAGGCTGGCGACCAAATGATGTTTCCCTGCGATCTCTGTCTCTGCTGCTGGGGGGTTCCCGTACTCTTCAGATTGACCGCCTTCAGGGGTGGCGGTGTGACATTCAGCGCGGCCATGGGATGCACTGCCTCCGCATCGCTGAGGCTGCCTCCGCTGGTGCTGCTCCTGCTGCTGTTGCTGCTGCTGTTGTGCTGATGGCGATGGTGATGATGTGGATGGCTGTGGTAGTGCTCCTGTTCCTGCTCCGACTGCTCCGACTTGCTGCGCTCCTTGGTGCTCAGGTTCAATGGCATATCCTCGTCCTGGTCCTGCAACAACTGCTTGTTATTGTTGTTGTTGCTTGTGGTGGTGGTGGTGGTGGTGTGCTGCACTTCCTGCTCCTTCTCGGGGGTCAGAGCATAGTCCCGATCCCGCTGACCCAACACTATGGAGGCAGGGGACTTGGGAGTCATGGGCGTCAGAGGCGTCCCCAAAGCTGTGGCGGAGGACAGCAGAAACTGTGGCCACAGCAGTGCACTGGAGTACAGCAGCGGATTATAGAGGAAGGGCAGATCTGCAGGAGAGATGATCGAAATGGGTTCGATAAAATACTATTATGGGATCTATGCTGGCAGATTAGATTATACTATAATAGTAGTCCCATCTGCCAAATTAAAGGAGGAGCTACTCTCCAGGCCATTGGAAACTATGCGATGCCCATGAGAGATCTTTTGGTTTCTTGTTTTGTTTTGTTTGTTTGATCCTTGCACTCACCTCTTCCATTCAGCTTCTGGGCTGCTGCCGAGGCTATCACAGTGTTGAAGGCGGATGCCCGCTGCATCCACTGCTTGTCCAGCGCTGGTCCCGAGTAACCCGCTGGACTGGGCTGCTGCGAGTGCGGCGATGGCGGCGGCGACAAATGATTCATTTTTGGGGCTCTAAGCTTTTCGCTCTCACTGTGTCTGCACTGGGCTCAATTTGTTTATATTATTTGGTGGATTTATTTTTATTTTTTTCTCTGGTCACTTCACAAATCTCACTTTTGTTGAGCTGATCTTTGGGATTTAACGGATCTGTTTTTATTATACAAATATCTGAGGGTTTTGTGGGTAATTCTTTTACTCTCTGGAGACGAACACGTCCGTATCGCTCGGTGCTTCGCACCTGACTGAATCTTTGTCCGATTGCTCGGTTCTAAATTGAGCCAACGGTGAAGCGTTGTCGCCGACTGACTACTTGGCCCGAAAAAAAGGTACTACCACATAATGCTCTGTGTGTGTGTGTGTGTGTGTGTGTGTGGCAGCAAGCCGAATCAAAACGAGCCCTCTCTGTGTTGGTGTTGACTTTCGGTGGTGGTGGCTGGCTCTGGAAGCCCTTGTCTGTACGAGTATCTGTGTGTTTGTGTTACCAACTCTGGTTTTTCACCTTTGGCAGCAGTTGGCGGCTGTTGCAGTTGCAGTTCCTGCTGCTGCTGCTGCTGCTGCTGCTGCTGCTGCTGATGTTGTCCTGCATGTTGTAAGGGTCAAGACGCACAGTTAGGCAGAGATACCCTCTCCTGCCCTCGCCATTCCTCTTCCTCTATCAGTATCAGTGGCTTTGATCGTGCTCTCCCTCCTATCCTCAGTGCCTTAGTGCCTCGGTGCTCCTCCTGCTGCTGCTGCTGCTGGTTCTCTTTCTGTTTGTTGGCAGCACGCGTTTCCCTACTAATTGGTATGCAGTTTAGTTTGGCGGGGCGTTTGCTGTCTTTTCTTTTCTTGCCGCATTGTAACTGTTACATTTTCTGTTACTGTTCTTGCCACCAACTGTTGTTGGCTCTGACACACTTGAGCGACAGAGATGCAGCGACGCAAGCAGACAGAGAGAGGAATATGCGGTTGGTTGAGGAAGGTAGTGGAGTAGCGGGCGGAGGCGTTGCCCGGGGAGGGTTGACTTACAAATATTTATGTACGTGGATGGATCTATCTATACATCCAACATCTGTCACGGACATTCCCCACATGTGCAATGGGATTGGGAATTCAATTAAGTTACAATTTTGATTAAACTATGATTAATTCAGTTCAATTTTTTTATCTGTCTAAGCCTTAAGGCTAGTGACTAATTTATCAACTATGTAAGTGTGTTTTTTAGAACACAGAATAATTCTGTACAAGATTTTTAAGATTATAATAATGCATTTTTTTCAAGCAGTTTCCGTAACTCATATTTTTAAATAAATAAAAATGCTGGTGTGAAAGGTTGTCATTTATAATTGAAATACAGGAGGCAAAATTATTATTTTCTTCTAAAATCTTGTACATTTTTGAGACAATTTTTCTTTTCTTACTACTCCAGATGTTTAGACTAAAATTCGAGTTCAAATTACTCTCTTCAAATATGATCTTAAATTAAGAAATATTTACAAGTTTTTTTTTAGTTTTGAATAGGTTTCTACACATTCAGGTGCAAAGTTTTAGCAGAAAAAGCCATTTTTTGTCATTTGTGTTTATCTGAAAATGTCCATTGAATAATATTCAAAGTTGGGTTCAGTAAATTGATTTACCTTTTGTTACTTAACATTTACTATGTCATTTGATTGTAGTTTTACGGGTATGATTTGTAGATATTTATATATTGATTTCCTCCAATGAGAAGTATGGAATTTATTTTCAATAATGCATGGAGAGTACATAGAATCGTAATGCTTATAAGTATGATTCCTATGCACACATCTTCCTTATCTTTATCCAACTTCAAACCAATTAAGCATTGAGCTTGAGGACATTTAAAGTGTATCTTTATTGGATCTTTCTTTCACATTAAACCAAATCGGAGGCCTTCACCTGCTGCTTTCTCCGAGTATCCATCCCCTTTGCTGCTGCTTCTGCTGCTGCTGCACCTTTCCCCCTTGGCAACACTCATCCCTGTTCAACATTTGGGTTCCTCCTCCCGAGTTAGTCCTTCTCCGGGCCACGCTTGGCCACCTCTCGGTGCAAGACAATTCCAGTTTATCTACGAATATCCTTGGCTCGGCCACACCTGCCTAGAAAACGGAGAAGTGGCGGGAGCACACTTCTTCCACATTTAACGATCCTCTTCCTTCGAGCTGGCAGCAATTTTCTGACGTTTTGGCGCAATTTCCTTGAGAGGACATGTGCATCACTGCGGCGACATTCCAGCAGACACGAGCCCGCCACGGGCAGGGGCTAGCGAAGCATGCCGCCGCGGCACGAGACGTGGCCCCTGGAAGCGGGTCAAAATGGGGGACAGGCAGCGCTCTGTGGCAAAGTCATTCATTATGACCGCGATGAGGGCTGGCCAGGCCAGGTCGCCCTCGTTGCGCTTGGCAGCGTTTCACCAGAGCGCTGAGGGCTGAGGGCGCGTGCCCTACTCTCCCTCTGCTGCATTGACTCCCCGCTTTGTAACGGATTCACCTTATGCCAGGCAGACGCATGTGTCGCCATTCACATCTATCATCGTTTGATATGCGCAGTCGTAGCCGGGTCCCACTGTCGTAGGTAAGGGTACAGGTAACACTCGTACGCACACTTTCCACTTTCCATATATTTTCAATATTTCTCCCGTATCGAGCGACATTTTATTCCGGGCCTGAGCTTCTGTTTGCTTTTCCACCGCTCTACCAAACAAATCCAACACGCTGTGCGCTGATTGGTCGGCAGCCGCGAGGGGCGTGTTAGCCGTTTCGGTTTAAACCCGAAACGAGTTTGTCTCTGTGTTGGTGCCACTCGCACTGTATCGAACTCACTCTGCTGTGCCACACTGTGTGGGTTGTATGCACCGTTGGCTGTTGGGTTGGTTGAATGGGAAGGAAGCAGCCCACTGATGAATGACTTGGGTCCGAATCACTGAATGGCTAAACAAAAATAAAGTACGAGTACGAGGAGATGTTCAAACTGATAAATATTAGATAAATAAATTATGTTACTATAAAAGCATTTTTGGAATATTAAATAGGTTTGATTTACTAAAAAATTTTTACCTTTGGCATTCTTTGGTTGATTTTAATGATTGGTGGCTTATTTTTTTGGGAATTAATGCCGCTAAAAAATAGATAAATTCTAATTCTAAAAACATTAACCATAACATACAAGAAACCATTGCAAGTTTGAAAAATCATTCAAACTGGCAGAAAACATCAACTTTGGCTGTGATTTATAAAATATACTTAAGGTTGTCCAACTTGAAGGCTTAATTTATGGATATAAATAAAGCTATATATGAATATATACTTAAAGTATGAGGGTCTAAAATGCACTCAACAACCCTAAACTAGCCTACAAAACTAGCCCACGTTCCAGAGGTTTCCAGAGCTTTCCTTGGAGTACACCAGACATCCTTTGGGTTTCTTTCTTGCTCAACCTCTTGGCCGATCCCCTGCGATCCCCTGCCCGATCTCAACTGATTTATCGGACTATCTGCCGACATCGTTGCAAAGCACTGAGAGACCATTTAAGCATCTTCCTATTTGTCTCACAGTGGGTGCTAGCTGGGCCCAACTGGAACATTCCTGCCAACAAATCAGACGGAAATCTGTAATAAATGTATTACTATGTGGCCGGGCCATGTGGATTATAATTGTCTGGGCCACAAATGGGGGCCAATGCGATGCCAACTGCGAGGCGAGGCGACAGCCAGCAGCCAGCAGCCGGTGCTGGCTACTGGCTACTGGCTACTGGTTATGAGCACGACCAGGAGGCGCTGCTCCTGGCCTGCTGCTGTGCGGAGGTGGAGTGCTAGTGCTCCTCCCGGGCGGAGACGTCGTCGGTTCATATCGTGCAGATTGTTGGCAATTATTAAAATGATAATTGCACAAATCTGGCTATCAATTGACGACCATCGAAGACCTTAGGCCAACGAGCAGCAGCCAAAACGAGCGAAAGCCGCGCACAGCAACAACACAGAGCCGACTGCTGGCCAAAACGCATGCGCAGCCAGTCCAGCTTCAGATCCAGCTCCAGTCAGCGGGCTCCCAACTGCAACTCCAACTCCGACTACAGACCAGGCCCAGAGCTCTTTCCCGGCCTGGCTCTCTTATCATGCGGCGTTGGCGCGCTGTGCAGCTTTTCGCCAACGTTGACAATTTGGTATTAATTTAAGACAACAGCAGCGGCTACCACAGCGCAACAGACCTGGCTCAGACCCAGCCGGGGCCACCAGCCAGCAGACAGTTGGCCACTTGGGCTGCCGGCCGCAGCCAGAGCAGAAGCAAACCAAACAAAAGACGGACATTTACATGCTGCCAACGAGGCTAACAATGAAATCTGCGTAGTTTGTTTGGGCCCACAGAATGGGCGGTGGAAGAGGGCGAGAGAGGGAGCAGAGAGTAGGCCAGGTCAGTCAGAGAGATAGTGTGACCAGGTGGGAGTACGATTTTCCTAGGAACAAAAGACGCTAAAAACTTGTAAATTATTTATTCTACATCTTTTACGATAAATCAAAACTACTCTTGGGTATTTGGAAAATCTTAATTCGTATCTTATTCAATATATTAGCAGAAATCCCCACAGAGACTTGGTCACACTGTCCGAAGTTCGCTCTGCTTTGTTTTGTGTTACTTGGCCTTTCCGTTTGCCAAGTTGTTGCCAAGTTGTGTCCCTCCATTGCGTCTGCGCACAATTATAAAACAAAATTGATAAAATTATTGTGGCTGCTGCTGCTGCTTGTTGCTGCTGTTGCTGCTTGTTGCTGGCTCTCTCTTCTATGGCCCGAGGAGCCACGATGGGCGATTAGCCCAAAGCCAAAAGGTTGCAGTGCAGTGCCCCAACTGACCAACCAAATGTCTTCGCGGTCCCCACTCCAGAGCAAGGGAAAGGAACGGAAAAGCCCCCATTCGCATGATGAAAATCAGCGACTCTGCAGCGACCGGAATGAGGCGAATCTATGGTAATGTGGCCGGGCTGTGGCCAGTTCAGGCCGCTGGCTAGGTGGCTAAATGAAATTTATTTCAATTTCATTTGATATTAATTGCAAATGGCCTTAAGATTGAATTCCAATGGGCTACCTTATTTGGTGACGGAGTGGAGGCCTTACAAATCGGGCCAGCGACTTCTCACTCGACCCCTTGGCTATGTTGGGGGCTTGTTAGGATTGTGTTTTGGGCTGTACCCGGGCCCCCAGCTGCCTCCCTGTTAAGACTGGCGCCACGACAACAA